AATAATAATAATAAGGGAAAATATATTAGAAAGGGCAAAAGAGTCTTTTCACCTTGGTCAGGGACGAAGCACGCAACAAACTAAAATGGTAGGGATCGTCCGAGTGCAAAAAAAAAGTTAGGGCCAAACACGTAATTTTCGTAAAATCACAGGAACGAATTCAGTAATTTGTTCTTAAAGTAATAATTTTTTTTTCATTTTTTTTTCTTTTTTTTTTTCAGTAGTTATATTATACATTTACTTTAGTTTTTATATGCACCACAAGCAACCATGAGGGGAGTCAACTTGGAAAGAATCAAAGGGGGCAGAGAGGAGTGTTTGATAAAATAAAGAAACCCGATCAAACTGTTTCGGATTCTTCACGCTTTCTCTTTGAAATGTCCGTTTTCTAATATAAACCCTAACCGATTGCACATAAAATCTATTTTCCAGCGTGTTTGTATGTTATCTCAAGAACCCTAGGCAATAGCATTTCAATCAATAACGAATTTCTCTACAATTGCAATATTTTTACCAAAGTTTTCTAGGTTTGATTGAAGGGGTTACGATAGATATAATAGAGAGGGAAAGAAATAGAGGAATTCTGGTATTTGGTGGATGGTCTCATGGGCGCAGCGGGGTCAAAGCTCGAGAAAGCTCTAGGAGACCAATTTCCTGAAGGCGAACGATATTTCGGACTAGAAAACTTCGGTAACACTTGCTACTGTAACAGCGTCCTGCAGGTTCCATCCGATTTCCTTTCTTTTCTTATTTTGATTTGGTAGGGTTTGTTTTAATCAATACGATCTTATTGGTTTATTTACTTTATTTAGTGGTTTTAGAAAGATTAAGTTAATATTTATAGTGGTGTCTGGAGTTAAACCTTATCTATATAACTTGCTAAACTGTAGTTCAGTTGACCCGATGTGTTAGAGTATGTTCTTTCGATCAATTTAGCACGAGAAATGCATATTTTGACTTCATTTTGAGCCAGTTTCTTCAGTTTTTAGATTTAACTTCCTGGGTTTATATATGGTTAAAAGATATTTCTTGATAACTATTTGGTTTGGGAAGCATTTTCTTCAGTTCTTTGGATGTCTTGTAGTTTTAAAGAAAGGGGTACCAGGAATGGTACTTGAAGCATCTTGTCAAATGGCAGAATTATGATTTGATTCAAAAGCTACATCAATGGAATAGAATTTATAGATCTGTTCTTTACACTTGCTAATTTGCAACCTCATTTTCATTCTCTACCACTACATACTTTTTTTTTTCTCTTTTTTTTTTTTTTTGCTTTCAACATAATGTATGTTATAAACCATGCTATAAACTTGGCTCTGCAAAAGTGCAAATGCATAAATAGTCATATTTTTGGTCTTCAATTGAACTGCCATCTATTTTTACCTTAGTAGTAGTCCTAACTTTTTACAAGTCTGCCCTCATTTATTCTCACTGTTTCTCTAATCTTTTTAAACATCAAGACGATTAAAAAAAACCAGTCACTAAGTTGCTATTTAGTCTATTACCTTTCTGAAGATATTAATCCTTGTTCATTATCTCATGAGAGTGGAAAATCTTTTAAAAATATTTATCCTTGACAACACTTGGTTTATTACCTTTCTAAAGATATTGAAAAAGCCTAGTAATTCATGTTGCTTGTTATAACTTCACTCAAAGTTTGACCTGAACTATTTTGCTAATGTTCTCATATATCTTTTTCTTAAATCATAATTTTCAGGCTCTATATTTTTGTGTTCCATTTCGTGAACAACTACTTGAATATTATGAGAAGGTTAAAAATCCAGATGTAGAGGAAAATCTCCTTACATGTTTGGCAGAACTGTTTACACAGGTACACATTTTTACTTGTAAATAAGCTTTTAATGGTAGTTATTCTTTTCTCTTAGTCACTTTATATTCTACACAAATGGGAATTTTTTACAGTTTTTTCAATGTAACCATGGCATATGTTGTTGTTGTTTTTTTTTTTTAAGTTGCATTTTATTTTCCTCATGATTTATTTTCTACATTTGGGTTCCTTGTATTAGATTAGTACACAAAAGAAGAAAACAGGTGTTATTGCTCCAAAACGCTTTGTACAAAGAGTGAAGAAAGAAAATGAACTTTTCCGTGGTTACATGCATCAGGTATTATATAATAAAATAACTTCTTACATTAAATATGAAATCCATTTATACTTAATCTTTTTCTAATATCAGTGAGTGATGATGATGTTTTTGAGTTTTGTGTAGGATGCACATGAGTTTTTGAACTTTTTGTTAAACGAACTAGTTGATATACTAGAGAAAGAAACAAAAGGTACAAAAGAACATTCATCACCTCCTGAAAAGATTCCCAATGGTATACATGTGCCTCAGGCTAATGGTGTAAGAAAGGAGCCCTTGGTTACATGGGTTCACAAAAACTTTCAGGTATATTCATATCTTTATTATTTTTCAATAAGTAAATATTTCATTTTACTTACCAATATAAAAAATTTCCAATTTTAGGGTATACTCACAAATGAAACAAAGTGTTTAAGATGTGAGACTGTAACTGCAAGAGATGAGACATTCTTGGATCTGAGCCTTGATATTGAGCAAAACAGTTCCATTACAAGTTGCCTAAAGAACTTCAGTTCGACTGAGACTTTAAATGCTGAGGATAAGTTTTTCTGTGATAAGTGCTGCAGGTTTCTGTTTCTACTTTCTACTTTGTTTTTCAAATTTTTGTTCTTTTTTTTTATGAAGGAAGTGTAAAAATGTTTTGTGGGGGCCCACAGTTTGCAGGAAGCACAAAAGAGGATGAAGATCAAGAAACAGCCGCATATTTTAGTGATACATTTGAAGCGGTTTAAGTACATGGAACAGCTGGGAAGGTATAAGAAGCTGTCATACCGTGTTGTGTTTCCACTTGAGCTGAAACTAACAAACACCATGGAAGATGCTGACTGTGAGTACTCTTTGTTTGCGGTGGTTGTCCATGTTGGCAGTGGGCCCAACCACGGGCATTATGTGAGTCTGGTGAAAAGCCACAACCACTGGCTCTTTTTTGATGATGAGAATGTGGAGATGATTGATGAGTCAGCAGTTCAAACTTCCTTTGGTTCAGCTCAGGAGTATGCAAGCAACACTGACCATGGATACATTCTGTTTTATGAGAGCCTTGCTGGAAATAATAACAACATCACCTGCTGAATCAAATTCAATCGTATGTTTATTTTTATTTTTTTTGTGTTTTTGTTTTTTTTGTGATATGGTAATGGTATAGAACATTTTGGGTTAGATGAGGATGAGAGGATGGATGGGTTTGATGTACAGTTGATATATGCTGCTGCTGCTGATATTTGACTTCATCTGTTGTTAGTGACACAATAAAGCTACTTTGCTTGTTTTCTTTTTTATATGTATTATGTACTTGAGACTTTAAAACCCTGCCTATCATATTCATATCATCATCATTGATAATAATTAATCACAATGGCTTGGGTTTGGGTTGGAAAAGCCTTATTGTTTCTATGTTTGATGTGCGTTTGTGTAAGCAAGTGTTGCAACGTATTTTCTGGTGTTTAAACTTATATCAATTAAGTGTTTACTCCAACTTTTTTGTTTGTTTGTTTGTTTGTTGTTTGTTTGTTTGTTGTAAGATGTAACTCGTTTTCTACGTTAAACTATTAAAATAAGACAAAATTGCAAGAATGGTCCCTGTAGTATGTCAAAACTAGCAACTTTGGTTCAAAATGGGTTTGGCTCGCAAGGATGGTCCAATAGTTTCGTTTTGTTGCGAGTTTAGTCCAAAAATTGTATAACTTTTTATAATGACGGATTTGCCATTGGTATTTTCCTTTTTTCAGTTTTTTTATTACATAAATCAAAAAAAGAAAAAGAAAAAAAATCTCTCTCTCTCTCTCTCTCTCTCTCTCTCTCTCCCTTTTATCTGCAACTCATCTATCTCCCTTGTTTCGCACTTCTCCGGCGAAGAGAGCCACCACAGTCGACTGTGGCAGCTCCTCCGGCTCCCCTGTCGTGACCCACCACCATCCAACATCCCAAATCTAAATCCACAATGGGTGTTCTTCGTTCTTGATTTTGGATCGGAAATAAAACCCAAATCCAAAAGTTGAATGTAGGTACGTTCTTGGTTCCAAATTTGAAACGAAGATGAAAAAGGGTAGATCTGAAACAAAATCCACACACAAAACCTTACCTGAAACGAAAACCAACCATCGATTTGAAGAGAAACGAAAACCCACCATTGATTTTGGATCTGAAATAAATCACTACACTTGTTGCCTCTATTTTTTCTTTCCTGCCGGCGAGAATGAAGAGAAAGGAAGCTGGTGGTCGGAGGGAGTAGCAGCATTTGGTGGCCGGAACTCACAACAACAGCGGTGGCAGCAAGCTGTTTGGGTGGCAGAGCGACGAAAGGAGCTGGGTTTCCTCCTTAGTGGTGCAGTATGACTGGAGAGAGGTGACGAGGGTGGTGAGGTCATGTACGGTGGTGAGAGGTGGCGTTGAGCGACTGGGACGGGCGGAACAAGGCTGACAGTCGACGAGCTCACATCCGTCTCCTTCTCTCGTCATCGTTGCATATTCAAAGGGGGGGGGGGTGGATGGAGAAAGTCGGGAAAGGCAGTGGTGGTGATGTGACAGGCGAAGAGGTGGTAGATGTTCACGGTGGTGGTCACCACAGCAACACCACCGGTGTCAAAACCACTGGTGCTCCATTCTTTGTTTGTGAAATAGGGACGAAAGGAGATGAATCGAGAGAGAGAGAGAGAGAGAGAGAGAGAGAGAGAGAGAGAGAGAGAGAGATAGATTTTATTTTTGTTTTGTTTTTAATTGATTTTAATTGTTGTAATAAAAGAAAAATGGAAAATAAAATAATAAGGGGCAAATCCATCATTATAAAAAAGTTCATAGGAAATTGGACTAAACTAGCAACAAAATGAAACTATTGGACCATCCTTGCGAGCCAAACTCATTTTGGACCAAAGTTGCTAGTTTTGACATACCACATGGACCATTCTTGCATTTTGTCTTAAAATAATAAGTTTGGTTTTTTAGTACCTGAAACTGTAAGCTTTTTTAAACATCAACAAGCGTTACAGCTAATAGTAGTATATAGATATATATTTTCTTAATTAATATTTTGATTATTTTTAATTGATAAAAATGTTTATTAAAAATTTAAAGCTAACATAATAATTTATAACTTAACCCATCCACCATCAAAAAGTTCAAGGTGGATTCATACTCTGTCTTAATCCATTTGGCTACATATGTCTCTCTACTATTATCTATTTTTTCTATATTTTTCCATTAACATGAAAAAAAAACAAAATCAACTTTCATTTCACTTAACTCACTAAAGCAAACAATTAGTTAGAGACTAAGAGATTGGGCTATCGTCTTTATCATTAGAAGTCAACAAAGAAAGAAAGCCTTTCCTAAACTCTACCATCCCAAAACAGTCTTAACTTTTTAATATAAAAATAATATGAGAAATAGATATATAGATAGAAAGATAGAGGAAGAGAGAAGAAAAAAAATAAAGAGAAGTGTGAGAGGGTGTTACCAACAACACATATCACCACTCCACATGAACATCACCTAAGAGTGTGTGTGAGACTCATACAACAAAAACTTAGACCATAAAGTACACATACCACACCTTCATACCAAAAATGCTACTACACGACATCAACATTGCTCACCTAAGGGTGTACTCACGACTCCATATCACCAAACCAATATTTGTATTCTATGCATGAAATTTTGTACATTGAAGAAGGTGAAGAAGGTTTCTTGTGTTGTGAATGAGGCCCCAACCACATCCAACCACGCCACAACACTTCCACGCCATCCAAGAATGATGTAAATGCTTTGCTCGTGCAAATTCTACCACATCAGCACAACAATATAGACGTAATGCGTATATCCAACGGTCTTACAATACAGAACCCAAAGAAAGATAATAGTCGTGTGACAACTTACAAAATCAATTTTCGTGGTCACGCCAATTTTAACTTCAAACTTTTCCAATTCAGCCCCATATACAACATCAAAATTGGTGTCATGAATAATATAACATAAAAAATGGTGGTTTCACTAATATCAAAGTTTAATAATATTCATAGTATTTTATTTTATTTTAATTATTCTAAGTTTGAGTTTATATATCTCATGTTAATTTAATAATATAGTTTTATTTTAGATTTAATATTTGTTTCAAATATATTTAAAATATAATATAAATATAATTTTTTTAATAAAATGATTGTTTTAATAATATAATAATTAATTCCAATTTTTTATACACTTTAACTATTTTATGATATTTTGTTTCATAGATAATTTGTAAAGCTTTGAAATATAAAGATATAAGATAAATTTATAAAATGCTAATAAATGGAAATATATATATATATATATATATATATA